GCCCCTTATTCCATGTGGATTCATCCCAGGAATCAGTCTGGCCTTGTATCAGGCATTAGTATAGTACCTGTTCCCTCCACAAATCTGACTTGAAATTGGAACAAAACACCATAGATTTGCGTGGTTAATTACTGAGTGACTTTATCTGCTTCCAGGGTGTGCAGCAAAACTAGCAGTTTTATTTGAGAGGTTCCAAATTTCAATTCCTGTAAGAAAAAGGATATGGAACAAAGCTTATTTGGTAAGTAAGTATTGCAAGACTATCTAAATTTTCTGGTTAAATGGTCGTGCTGCAGTAAACTTGAAACTAACACCTCTGAGAAAGTGTGAAAACGAGTTGTGCTGAGTGTGGAGGGTTCTGTCTGATTCCTGAATGGCAGGAGACTGTACCCACACAAGATCTGAGATACAGTGTTAAAAGAAAAAAGCTCATAAAATTATAGTGTTTTTACAAATACAGTAGTAATATGGAGAGGTTGGTGATGAAGGTTGTTCTTAAAAGTGAGTCCTTTTCTAGAGTTCACATTCCTTGGATGATACAGAGATGATACTGAGACTTTGAAAGGCAACCACAGAACTCAGCCACCAGCTGGGGAAGTGTGATGCTGATAGACTTCCACTTGCAGAAGAGATGAGTGAAAGGCAGTTTTGGTGGGTTATTTGTTTTTCCTTTTCTTTTTTTCCCTTACTTAGAGAAACCCCTAGAGCTTGCATCTTTCGAGGTTTTATTGCCCAGAGTAGCTACTAGAACCATTGGCTCCTTGTGCAGCCCAAGCCCAGATTACAGCTGTGGAGGCAGGCAGCCCAGTTCCATCAGTCTTCCCCCAGCGCTTGCCTGCCAACCTCTTGCCCTCCTCATGCCATGTGGTGAGTCAGCCCGGCGTGGTCTGTGGTCTGGATGCCGCTTTGGTGATCAGGCACAGAGACTTCCAACCACCACCTATGAAAACACGAATGCGTGGGTTGTATCCTATGCACAGTAATATTTCAGGCATTGCCTCAGCTACTGCTGGTGGCAGTGTGTTGGAGAGAACAAGCATTGGCACTGCCAGGCTTTGAGCCTTCCTTTACTTTAGTAGGTGGACCAAGAAAGCATGAGCAATGTTTGTGTTGGTGCTTCTCCAGGCTTATCTGTGGTTTCTGCTGGCTAAGTGAGCGCCTGGCACCTTTCCTACGCTGTTAACATTGCGTAAGGAAAACCAACAAACTGCAGAATATGAATTTCACGTGTCTCCAGGCTGGTGAGTTTCAGTGTGCAGATGATTTGGAGAGGTAGCCACAACCTAAAGAAAAGCAGGTCTCTTTTTTCAGTGGGTTTAAATAAACTACAGCACTCCATAGCAGTAGGAAAAAAACCATATGGCTTTGCAAATGAGTAAAAAATGACAGTTTAAAAGTAACTTGTCATTTAAATAAAAAGCTTTGAGTCAGTTTTGGTTTTGATATTATCTACAGTTCCTATTGAATGATAGTGATGGTAACTAACAAGCTGGTGCAGTTTAGTGTCTTGCACGTTGTGAAATAAATACTGTAAGAACAAATAGTGATTGGCTACACAGCAAGCCTTCAGCAGATCTTCATCTTTAATATGTTCAGATGTCTCATTATCAGGGTGCAGCTATGGCATTGGGAATTTCTAGCTGTAATCTTTAAAATGTTGACCAAAGCCCTTTAAGAGCGTGAGTTGAATGGTTCATGCCTGTGGGCAGTAAGAGAAGGCACACACTGGGCAGTGAAAGTCAGCCTTGCTTCCTCAGAAACTCCTCTGTAAGAATGTGCATGATGCAATGACTCTTCCCTGAAGGGGAGGGGAAAAATCCAGAAAGTCCCTCCTGCCTGACTGTGGGGTTTTTTTTCTTTTTTTTTTGTGTGTAGTGATTAATTTTTCCAGTCCCCACTGTAGCGGTAAAAGGCTGTCTGAGGGAGCCGAGTCCCTTCATCATATTTATTCATATAAATATTTGCAGAAAAGACAGACTTTTCTTCAGGCAAAACACAAAAAACAGCTGTCATAAATTACAGCAGAGGAATCCCACTTAGATGGGATGTCACCCTCACAGTAAAGAAGTTTTTTCCTTATGTTTAAGTTGAACATAAGGAAATGAAATATCAGCAACTCACATCTGAAAAGCCGAAGGTGGTGCTGCAGGAGCAGTTCCAGGGTTAATTTTTCTCCTCCTATGGATGGGAAACAACTCATTCAAGGGAAAAAGAAAAGCAAGAAGCCAAAACTATCGAGGAGATGCTATCAATCCAGATGAGTCAGGCAGCTTCCAGCAAGAATGTACTTTTACCTCTGTGTAGCAATATCCAATCTTCAAGAGAAAGAAATCTGTTTACCCAGCATTTGGATAGGTTTTTATTCCAGGAAAGGAAAATATTCTCATGCCAACAGTTAGGTGTCTGTTCACAGAAGCATCAGTACTGCTGTTTCACAAAGGTTTGGATAAAAAAGATGCTTAAATGTAAGCTAGGAAGAGCTAGTACCATTACTTATGTGAACTCTGCTGGGGCAAGGAATACATTTTCATTTTCCATTTCTTCATAAAGTACTCTTCAGTGTTCTTAAACAATACTATTTTTAAAATGTTTTTCTTTATATTTTAAATAGCATTGCAGTGCATGCCATCCTATAATGTTCCTCAAATGTTTAAATTTTAAAATGTATTATATATATTCTATTAAACTCAAGATGTGTCTGTATGGACATATCTGTATGTGTGTGTAGCTGGTACTTGTTTGACTGTACCACTCAAAGCACTGAAGAAGCATGACTGAAGTTGATGAGTAGGACAGTGTTGCGGCTGCTGATAACCTGGGGATTACCAGCACATTTCAATATCACAAAAGTTATGTGAAGAGTTACCGATTACTTCAGACTGCAAAGTCATCTACAGATAAAGTGCTATCAGGGTGCAGCATGCAGGAAACCCCAAGTTTTTCCTTGGGATAGGCATTTCTTTCGCCATTTCGCCACATGGCAGAACAGCCTTTGAGCAAAACTCAGTGGAACTGGGCAGGCTGGCCCTCAGCTCTGCATTTGTAGAAGGAAACGCCATCAAAAGCGATTTTGACAAAGCTCCAGACTTCAACTCCTGGCAATGGGCTGTTATGCAGGGTATGGGAAGGTGTGTTGGTACAATCCAAGTAAGCTAATACAAGACCTGTGACAAGTGTGACTAAACTTGGATGACGTTTCAGTCTGGTGATTGGTTTATAAAAGTTCCCTATTACCACACTTGAGCTCATATAACATGATGAAATACTACTCACATTTGATGTGAGGAACTACTTAAAGGTCATTGCATTTTGAAAATGTGTTTGGGAAATGGATAGATAAAAATTCCCCAGCCCATGCTGGCAGGGTGGCCTTTCTGCCTTTTACCTTCACTTTGTTGGGGGTTTTATTTTTCTGCATTTTTTTTCTCAGTTCTTTAATTCCCTTAATTGGATTAATTAGTTAATTATTCAAAGCTGCACATCTAGCGCTCAAATATATCTGCTGAGGGTTCAGTGCTTGGATAGTGAGGTATAGGTGATCAGCCGAACTGAGAGCCTGTGCCCATGAATCTGATGGAGTCTAGCTTCTTGATTAGATGTTGTCCAATATGCTGAGTATAATTGGTTGTTTTTAAATAAAAAATACCTTCATTTGAACCAGAACTTTCACCTTTTTTGATCTGACAGGTGTTTTCCTTCCATCTTTTCCCAAAGTAAAGAGGATTGTTAGGCAAGTTTTTGTTTCTGCAGAAAGGTAGTCTTCATGACCGTTATTTCTTTAGTGGGTGTCATTATGTAGTGCTGCACTTTGTCATACAAAATTTGTGTTTTCTTTTCTTGCTTGTCAACGTGAACTTGCAAAAGGAGAATGCATCCTGACTTTTGCCCAGATACACTGGTGCACAAGTGGTGAATTACACGTGGATGTCAGCACCGGGAAGTTTTCGGGGCGGGAAGAGTGAGGGGTGGGTCTGTTCAAAAAGGCCAGCAGGCTCCCAGCTGCCTCTAGCAGCACTATGGTCACTGCCAGCAATCGACTCATCTGAGCTTTCCATACACCCCAGGAGCACAAAACCCAGCTCCCACCAGGCAGGCACACATGTAATATTCAAGCCTTTACAAACACAGAATGAGATTGCTTTCACCAGAGACCCCCTGCATCCCCAGCCCTGGGGTCAGGCTCACAGGGGTGCACATACTGGAAAGGCAGGATTTGGAGGACAGCAGCAACAAATGTCAGTATTTGTGCAGACAGCATCGCGGCACACCCGCACCAGTCAGAACCTAGGACGCCTGGCAGTCTGAAGGCCCAATGCACTTTGGCCTGATGGGCTGGGCTCACCTCACCATTCCTTGCCCAGATGCTGGCAACACTGAGCTGCCCTCTCTCCAGCAGTCGGCATGGTGTGGATGTGGTGCCCAGCAGCACGACTGGCAGCGATTTCACAGCCCCTCCTTCCTCCGATGATATATGCATAGATGATGTCCTGCCACAAACACACCTCCAATCTCCATCCACCAGCAGATGACCTGAAGACAGGCCACCAAATCAGATCACATCTCATGGGTAGGTCTTTTACATTTTTGCAGCAAAATTTGTGTTCTTTGGCTCTGAATGGCTAGCAAGCTGGAAAATAAATAAATAAATAGATAAATAAATTTTTAAAAAATCTCAGCACGGCAAGCAAGCACGCTTGTATGACAAATTTATGAGGTAAAGTAATATTGCCTGACATCATTTGGGAATTAGTGCCTAAAAAAAAAGAAAAGAAAAAGGACCTTTTTCATGCCGGTTTCCTTCATAATTAGTTCCAAACTTCAGAGTGACCACAGCTGCCAAGTAAGAACAATTGCTTGTGTTTAATTGAGAGCAACTCAAACGTTTTTCAGCTAAACTAAACCAAAGCCAACCCGGGGATTTTGGAAACCGCTGATAATAAGGGGAACTCTGGAGTGTTTAACAATTACTTCCTCATAAGTCATAACCAAGAGGAAGAGAGATGCTCTTCAGTCATGGAGCTGCTCTCCTAAGCATGAGGGGGATCACGCTTTCCTCCCTCTGCTTACTGATGCACCTGATTCAGGATGAGATAACCAGTAAGTAAAGGCTTTCTGCTCTTTTCCTTTGTGAGGAGGGGGGCTTGGGTCTGTTATTGAATCTCCGAATGAGTAAAAAAAAAAATCTCCAGTGCATTTCAAAAGTCCTGTCATTTCCAGATTAGTCTGTTATTTTGTCCTTCAAGGTTCTGAAATGCAGCTAAAGCCAGCATGTTGCCTATTGAATTTATTCATAGCTGTATTACCAGTTTCAGTTCAATTAGTACAAGTCTTATCTGACTCTGTGATATGCCAGTGATAAAGCTGCAGTAATAGAGTCATTTGGGTCACTAAACCCAGAAAAATATTAGGATTTAGATGCTTCAGAGATGTTGTTAACTGATTCTGTCATCTGTAACCATCACAGTTTGCAAACAGATTCTCTTGAAAATTGTTGGGCAGCTTTTTCCAGAAGTTCAGATTGGAAAAGCAGTTAATCTCAGGTTATTTTTTTATTAGGCAAGAGCTGGTAAACATGGCTGTGGCAACTGTTAAAACAGCTATAATTCCTGCAGGTTAAAGTTGAGATGTGGAGGAAAGAGCATTCAGCTTTAACTACTGATGTAGCTGCTTAACTGCAGGCTCTGTGAACTGATCTGTAGGTTTAGTTTCCTGGGATGTCCATCAGGCATCTTTCACAGCAGTAAACTCGCTAAGGAAAAGTGGAAAAAAAAAAACCAACAAAGCAAAACCAAACCACATAGAAGTGTTCCTTTCATAATACTGAATGTGTTCGCTCTGTAACTGCTAGATCTGATCCTTGTGACTTGTAAAGTTTTGAACATGATATCCAGATATTTCATTTCCCTGCAGTATGCTGGTGAGGAAGCCTAATGAGCTGTAGCAGTACCCTTTTATTTAAATGTGGAGATGTGTGTCAGTCACAGACTCATTACCTTATCAGTCCTTATTATTTGCAGCTATTTTAGTTGTGGAAAATCAGGACCTGCAAGATTTGATTAAGCCACAGAAGGTGGAGTTTCGCTCATTAAACTTCAAGAGCACTTTGCATTGGCAGCCTGGAAGGGCCAGAGAGACAAGAGACACAGTCTACTTCGTGCAGTATAAAACGTAAGTACTAGGGGAACTCCAGCCTCCTGCCACTTCAGGGCCCATCCCCACTTGGCACACCGAAACTATTTCTCAGGTGACACGGGACATTCTCCCCATATGTGGGGAACAGCCACGTCCTGCTCGGCTGCCAGCTCTCTGTTGTTGCTGTGCTGATCCGCAGCCTGTAAGGGGCACCTGAAAAGCCCAAGGTAGGCAGGGAACAAGCACCTCCAGCCACACACTCTGCAGAATGGGGAAGTTTGCAGGGGACCTCTGGAAGTCACCAGGTCCAACCCCCAGCCTAAAGCAGGTCTAGCTAGATCAGGTACGGCTGCAATAGGACATTTAGGGTATTTCAGTGGCCCACCTTGCCTAAGTCAGTGATGGAGAGTGCTTCACATGGCAAACTTGAAGCAGTTCTAGGAGCTGGTCCTCAGAGGAGGTATGCTTCTGTTCTTGACGCACCTGGTGAGCACCTGAAGTCACCTTTGAGAAATTAGTTGGTGGAAACTAGCATTCTGCCCATCACTGAACACACCAGCTAAGCCAAAGCTCACCTGCCTCTCCCATGGGGCAAGCGTGCAGAGGCTGGTGATCTACATCTCTGCTTTAGGTTTCTTTCAGAAAAGACAGAAACCTGTAGCTCACAAATGCCTATGAAATCAATCTTCCCTGCCATCAAATTGAAGAAAAGTGTTTCTTTTCATGGCAAAATGCTTGGCAGTACCACTAAGTTAAAATGAGTGGTTAAAATAATCTGTATGGACCCTTTTGGCAACAGCTAAAGCTTACAACCTTCCTCCTCTTTCTCCATAGGTATGGGCAGAGCACGTGGCAAAACAAAGACGACTGCTGGGGGATTCAAAGCCACATCTGTGACCTAACAAATGAGACCTCTGACATCCGAGAGCCTTACTATGGCAGAGTGAAAGCTGCCTCAGCTGACGTCTATTCCGACTGGACCCTCAGCTGCAGATTCACTCCCTGGCGAGAGAGTAAGTACAAACATACGGGTCTCTCTGAGAAAGGAATTGGATTTTCTGTGGCACAGAATACATAATTTCTGCTAGCTATTTGCAAACATGAGTAATCCTTTTCTAGCTACGAAGCTGTACCAAAAGAAGTTGCGAGTCAATAACTCCTAGGTGAAGGGTTGCGGTAAAATAATTTTCCCCACACTTGGATGTCAATCTATTATGGATAAGTAGCCACTTATCTATAATTAGGGGATCAGAAACACAGGGCTCCCTTTAATGCAACTGCTTCCTTAAGGCATGGAACTACACAAATTACTTTCAGCCATTTTTGGAACTTCTGGAAGGACTGAGCACAGGATGGAAAAGAAGAAAATGTTCTCTGCTTGAGGGGAAAAAGGGAGAAGGGAGCAGAGAGCTGCATGGGCACCATTCTTTTAGCATTTATGTGTTTTCCTGACTGCAGTGTGTTTAGAAAGGATACTTTTATTTAGTCCAGTCATTGTAATGCCATAGTGTGTTAGAAACTGGAGGACTGTCAGAACACTGAACAGTACCGGTGTACCTACTACTAAGTTTGCCGTAAATTAACCAATTTTCTCTCACTGGTCAATGCAAAATTGAATTGTGAATGTCAACACAGGTGACTTCACAGCTCTGAAATGCAAATGCTTGTGCAGATGAAACCACAAACTTTGACATGAAGCAGTACCTTGCAGCAGCAACAGCATATCTCACCCTGTGCCATCTCCTCTTCCTGGAGAGATGTGTGGAGCAGCTGCTGTCCTTCCTCCCAAATCCCTGGGGCTGCACAGAATCACAGAATC